CAGTTCTCTAGATTCTTTCAGTTGATCCCATTCTATCATCATTAAACTAGTCTTCTCTTTTTCTCCTTCTAATATATCTTCTATAGATTTCTTTTCTTTTACTAGATGTTTAACCTGGAAATATCACTTTCTTCACTTATTACACATTCCCTCTTGAGGAGTATAGCAAAGTACCTTGCTGATAAGATAAATAAGAATCTGTCATTACCAAAATGAAGTGTCTTATTGATAAGCTATTATAAAACAAGTTATTTGAAGTTATATATCTGTAAAAATGTGTTTATTGGTGAAATGGAACTTACTCTGATTTCTAGTGTATTTAATTGTTCAGTAAACAAGATTCTTTCTGACTGGAATTTCTCTTCCATTTCACATATCTTTCTATCAAAATTATTCTGAACCTAAAATATCAAATATCAAAATTATTATGAACCTTAAATATCAAATATCAAAATTTATTCTGAACCTGTAATATCAAATATCAAAATTATTATGAACCTTAAATATCAAATATCAAAATTATTCTGAACCTATAATATCAATATCAAAATTATTCTGAACCTATAATATCAATATCAAAATTATTCTGAACCTAAAATATCAAATATCAAAATTTCAAAAGGACATTTGATAAATATGAATCAACACTAATGCTTTAAAATATCATTGATAAGACATTAAACAGAAATAAAATATCAAATTTCAAAACTAGAACATCTTTGGATGCAGTTTATAAAGAGATTTGATTAAAATTCATCATCAATATTATGTTTTCTTCAGCATACTGAGAAAACTGACATATTTATTCAAACCAGTCTAAGCTAGAACTTCAATTTAGCTCAATAAAATATAAACATTACAAAAAACTTCACCAAAATATAAGAAAAGGTGTATGAAGATTAAAACTAAGGTATGAGAAATAGAGAAGGAAATTAGAAGATTATTCAAAAGAGAGAACTTACCAGCTGTTGTTTTTGAAAACTTTCTTCCATCTTTCCTTTCTCCTTCATTAAAACTTTTAAATATTCGTCTTTCTCTAGTTCTCGTTTTCTCCAGCCTTCAACTACCCGAGCTAGTTGTTTATCTAATTGTTCTATCATTATATCTTTCTTTTTATCTGTTGATATGGCAACCGCTACTTGTTGTTGACTTTCTAATAACTGTTAAACAAAATATAAATTTCTATATTGCAATTGTAAAAAGCTCAACTACTATTTTAGATATAAGATTTAAAGTTTTGTTTATTATCAATTTCATCCCAAAATCAATTTCAAACAAAAACACTCAATTTGCACACCAATGAATGGTTCAGTTCTTATAAAAATATAACCTTCAGCTATTTCTATTCTCATCTTCAATATCCCATCTATATTAATCTAAAATATCAAATCTTTATTTATCTGAATATATCTTACCTTGGAGTTTAATTGTTGAATCTGTTCTTCACAATGCTGGAAAATATAAACATTCAAATATACGTAATATTAGATAGAAAGATTTCACATACATAGTACCTAAAGTACGTGGACATTGTTTTATAGTCCCATCTGAACGACTAGCCATTTTCTCTATGACAGCTTCTTCAACCTGCATCACTGACAGGGGGAAACCAGGTTCAAAAATCTAAACGTATTATCTCAACTTATGTCAGATTTGAACCCTGTACCTTCAGATTAGCGAGCAAGTGTCTAACTGACTGAATACTCCACCGATT